GGGTTTATCATCAAATCTCGCGACACGAACCCCGCATAAAAGTAAGTAGTACACACGAAACGCGATTGCATAATCCAAAGAAAACGTGCGTGCGTATAGAAACCTGGTTGTAGAAGGGGTTGTCCTCCTACGAGGCCGTATGGGGTGACCACATTACCCGTCGCATTTAAGTCAATGGCGTGAACAACTTTTCCGCTTAAGTGCCGTGTTCCCTTACAACGGATTTCTCGGTTGACGATCGAATCGGTCGATCGATCGATCGAAATAGGTTATGTACTACCAGTAAAATTGATTCTCGGATTAAACCTTAACACTTCGATTGCCAAGTAAAAGCTCATCGAAACTCGTAAGCAGTCGAAATAGTTTTCCCACTAAAACAGAAACTAAAAAGTCGAAATTCTTTATAACGGTTGCTCCACTGCCTTCCTTATATTTTGTGTATCCAAGAAAATTCGATTCGTCGGATACGTTACTAAGAAAATGAATGTTTCAGTTTGTGTAAAAAATGGTGTCACCCGAATTTGGGTGACGTGGCAGTTGAAGTATTAAACGGGATGTCGAATCGAGATTCAAATTGAATTTCGAACGGCAGAGTAATCGATTGTTTCGATTTTCCCTTCGTTTGGCGCTCTTTCATTTATACTCGTCACGTGATCGTTAGGCGTTACACACATCAGCGTGAATGTTTAAGTTGATTCAAAACGTCGTACGTGAAGCTCTAATAGGAATTATCTGATATAGTCTATACATGGTTTATTTATTTATTTATTTGTTGCATCGATATGCGAGGTTATATAATTTTGTCATTGGTGTCAATAAATTTTTAGATTATTATGATTAGAATGAAGCCAACGGGTAGAATTTGTATTTGTAGAATGGTTATTTTCAACGTGACGTTGAATTCTACGAGTTTGAGGTATGATCTCATTGTAAATTATAATATTCGTGGAAATATGCAATTGACTTACCCGGTGGTTGTGCATGGGAGAACCGGTATTCTTGTTCGGTATAATTGATGCACGTATCACGATCGTCGCATTTGTAAACCAGTCGTTCGAGTCACCAGCAACTTTTGTTTCACTTGTCACATCGTACGTTCGATGACAATTAATAGAACAACGGGGAGAACGAATTCAAAGCGAAATTCACGCGACGACAGCCGACATGTGACTGCCGCCAGTTGGTTCTACGGGCAAGGTGGTTTTGCAGGTAAGTACTATCGACCACCCTCTCCCCACTTCTCTAAAAATCGTTTCACATAGTCACTATATTCTAATCACCATCAAAGTTGCGAATAAGTACTGTATTCCCCCATAAGGATTAATTAGACCAGCGGCGCGAGGAATATATTATTAACCTCTCACGACGTCGACGTGATCGGTTCATCAACACCGGCGAGTCAAAATTTTCCCGCCAATTAAAATTCTGACACGACGCAGAGTCGAATTCGATCTGAATCGATTGCAATATTTCACTATTTTAAATTGAATTCGAAAACTGAAATTGCTTGAATAATATGTTCACTGATAATGCTTGTAAACGTTGGAGTAGGATACAATATTATTTTCTGAAAAATTGATTATTCTAACGGTCCGCCCGTATATTCGATCAACAATATTATTAAGGATAACGTACCGTTATCACCATGTGCAAATATGAATAATATATTTCTAATTTTTTGCAAATGGAATTTAACGTATATACAAAAAGTCAGTTTCAGAGGGTTTGTATTTTTTTTCTAAATATAATAATAGATCATTTAAGCATAACATTTATATTTGTCTATATTAAAATATATTTTATAAATAAAACAGAAGTTCTTAGATTAAATATATAAAGTACAATTGTAATAAATAAAGTTTATATTATTCATAAATAGTTCCATGTCCAATAAATATTTACTAAGAAAATTAATCAATTGTATGTAATTTGTACATATAATTCAATAATACATTATCTGTGTACAATAGTGAGACATAGAATGAACACATAAATAATAAAACTCCATTAAGTAAAATGCCTTCGACATTATTTACACAGCAATGGAAAGATACTTAATCTAAATCACTTTCATTAAACTGGGCTATTAGCCTTTAACAGACTGTCTTTGGTCCTAACGTTTTGCACTGGATTTTGTGAATACAATATAACTGCATAACTCACCATACCAATAGAAATCACTGTATTCATTTGAATAGGAATACTGAAGATTAACCAACATAAAACTGCAGTGAACACCAGCTCCAGTGCACTGGCGAATGTTTTCAATATAGAGTTTAAGCTTTTCAGAAAGAAACTTGTAATTATTCCAACTGCTGTATTGTTGAGCATGATCATAATTACTTTTGGTTGCAATAATATACTAGGATGAACATTACTAAACATGTCCGAGGAATTACTTCCTGATACATATAGTCCTACAAATACTGTGACATTACAAAAGATACTATCAATGTACATAAATACATTTTGTACAAAAATATTAATATTTGCCCCTTGTTCTTTAAGAAGGTATTCATTGTACACCCCAGCTAAGCAGGAGCAAATCATCTGAAAATATTCAAATGTTCAGATTGAATTTTACTGAACACACCTGTATATATATTACCATATATATGACGGAAAATTAAATATACCTGTAGAAATACAAGAATTACACTACTAGTTAAATTAATTTTGGCACTGAATATATCAACACCAAAATCCAAGTCTACATGTTTCACCATGCACCCAATGGTTAATATTATTAATGAAAACCATTGTTTTATCGATAGTTTTTTATTAAAAACGACCTAAAAAGAAGTAACATTGTTAGAAAATATTTTTACTTCATTGTAAATCACAAGATAATTCTCAGAGATATACCTGGAAAATAATTCCTGTCATGACAACACGAAATTGTAATAGTAGATAATAAGTTGTTGGGTCAAATGCAGCCAAATTGATAAATGCTAGATTATTGTATAGGCAATATAAAAATGCAGGTATCATGTATAGTAGTAGCACTGAAACAAAAGACAATGTTAATTATATTAACAATTATTTTATATTCATACTTTCTTGATAAATAATTGCTTTTAAACTATTATTACAAGAAACAAATTACTAAGAATCGTTAAATAACAATGCAAAATTAAATTTACTTTGATTGTTCACAAAGTGTTTTTTTTGCATTCTGAGAATTCAAATTATTAACTTATCTTATCTCTTCCTTTGCTTACTCTACATGCAAAGATAATTTTGAAATGTTGAACAAACGACAATTTCTTCTTATACAATAAAATTTCCAATTGAGAATAGCACAATTAAATTCACTATTTAATCAATCTTACATCTACAGAGAATATTCATTTACCTCCTTTATTGCCTGTGATTTCTTGGCAAAGACTTTTGATGCTATTGCTAAAAATAAAACAGTTATTAAATGACCCAAACTCAAAACTTAGATAAATCGCATAATTTAATTGTGTCACTTACTCTTTGCAATACAATATTATTGAAGCAATCAATTTCAGCATTTCTGTCATTAATACTACCATAACAATACTGTATTCATACTGCCCATTTTTCTGTGACCAAGTTACAATAATACCTGAAACGAAAATAATTACTTTTCCATATAATTCACCTGTTAAAAATAAGTTTAAAATAAATAATGAAATATTGCTTAATAAAAATTCATAACAATGTCGGCAATTGTACTTTCACGTAGATGTGAAACCGGTAAAATATTATTACGTATTGTCAAAGACAATTTAATTAAATTTTTAATTCATTTCTCTTTATTTCATCGGCATGATTGTTTATTATTTTTTACCGTTTATTACATAAAGATTGCTCGAATAAAACAATGATTGAATCAATGTAGAATAAGAACGAAACAGAATACTTAACCACAAAAATATTACCTTGATTCACAAAAAGGGCCATATAAGAAATAAAGATAACAAGGCTCCATCTTCCTGGAAACAGTTCTCCCCAATTTATAGTTCCCATTAGATACTTTTTTAGTTAATATTATTACGTTAAAAATGTACACATTCGTGGTGTACGTATCATGGCAGTTTGTGTTGGGTACTGCCTCCTCGAAGAGCCCGATACAGACTGATATCATGAACGCTAATCAAATATGTGTCACATGATTTTTATGTTTTTTAGTATCAGTCAACTAAATTAGTTTTACCGTCATCGTGAAACTCATTACACAACTAGGAACAGCTAGGAATATTAAAATTATAAATAAAATCTTATCAACTTTTACATCTGGATTATATGAAACATTAAAATAGTGATTAAAATAATAAATA